ATCCACAAGCTTCTCCCATTTCTTCTTCATTCTGCATTTCCAATCTTTATGTAACACGCTACACTTCGTTTCCACAACATGCTGGGATAGTGCATTGTCCTCATAATTATCCCCTATTTCAAATTTATCCTATAATTATCAATACAAACCAAATAAGAAACTTGCAATTATGCAATGTGAACGCTGAAAATATGTAGTTACAGTGATATTTAATTACGGCGACGTGCAAAATTTGCTGAAAATATGTAGTTACAGTGATATTTAATTACGGCGACGTGCAAAATTTAATGAAAAAGAACATCACTTCATAAAAAAAGAACACATTTAATAAATAGTTTGTCATGTAATCTAACTATTATGGGTGAAGCAATGGCAATGGCAATGGCAAACACAAAAGGTGTCAACAGGAAAATAATTAAATTCCATCGAATCCTATGAAAATCTCAAAAGGTGTTAATAACACAAGACGTTGTGCCTGAATAATTGCAATCAAGTTTACTAAACCATACAAGGCACAAAAGCAGCATAAATATTTTTGGTTCTTTAAATAGATATCAACTTTGTTTTTACAAAGTAATTCACTTTCATAAATGAATCAAACGTTTGAGCACTACTACATTTTAGGAGGTTATCAGGGACAATGAGGCATGGTCAAACCATTCAACTAAACTATGTTCTGATCAACTAAACAAATAATAGTCTCCAAGATGGCAACATTAATTCCTACACAAAAGTTCAACATTAATTCCTATACAAAAGTCCCATATCGCCCGATTACTAGTAAGCATATAAGCGTGAGGACACCCTCACCCCAATAGTTAGCTTTTGAGTTGAGTTCTACCCATGACCATGTAACATGGTATCAAAGCTAGAGTACTCAAGTATGGGTAGGGTGTGTGTCCCTGGTATGCACATCGCAAGTGCTGCCGAGTGAGCACGCTGGACGTGAGGGAGGGTGTGAAGCAAAGTCCCACATTACTAAAGTAACATTAAGTATATAAGCATGAGCGCACCCTTACCTCAATAGCTAGTTTTTGAGTTGAGTCTTACCCAAGACCATGTAACAAGCAAGCCATCACTCAGTTCATCCCTATAGGAATTGTACAATGAACAATTAAGAATTGAGGTCTTATCATTCTAAAAACATCCACCAAAGAAGATCCCATTTCTGAAAGCATCAGTGCAACCTGATTGTCATTAATGAAAACCGTTAATTTTTAACTATTTCAGTTTTTATTTTTAATGAACTTGACAAATGAACAAAGTTATCATGCACAGTACTAAGGCATACTTTTAATGTGAGATGAAGATTTTCTTCCTTTTTATTTTTTATTTATTTTTATTTTAAAGTAACTGACAATGTCACATATTAGAAGATAAGTTTTGAAAGATTATTTGGTCTCTTCAAGGTGTCCTGATGAATTCATCTCTACAGTAGAATATCAAGCAAGAAAAACTAGTCTCTAATATCATTCAAAAGATGTAACTCATAAAAGAAATTATGAATTCTATGTTAAGAAACCAGCGAAACCCAAGTAACATCATGTCTAAAAGGCAAGTCATGCCCAGATATTCAGATTTTTGGGGTGATTTTTGGGCCTGAACCCGTTTTGAAAATGATGTTAAATCCCTTGGATCTGCAATAAAGATAATATTTAAACTTGAAAATAGACAACAGCAAGCCAAAAAGTCACAAATTCTGTTAACTATAAACATATTCAACATAGTGATATCAGATACACAAATTATTGTAAAATAAACTGCGAAGCAATGAAACTTTAAGCGTGCGCCTCACATTTACTCTTTCTACCCTCCGCATTTCGTCTTCAAGCAAAGATAGTTGTGCAGCAGAAGTCCAATGGATGCAATCAACTGGGCTGAAATGAAAAAGAAGTAACTATCTAACTATCTAAAGACGTCCACTCACTACTACAAAAACAGATAAAGATCACACTTTTTTTGTGTGATGTATGTTATTTAATCACACCTTTTAAGTTTTATTAAAGTGTGATCTTTGGGAGTGTGATTAAAAAGGGTCATTTTTAATCACACTTTTTAAGTGTGCTTAATAACATCTAGATCACACCTTTTAAGTGTGATTAAAAATATTTAGATCACATCTTTTAAGTGTGATTAAAAATATTTAGATCACACCTTTTGAGTGTGATTAAAAATATTTTGATCACACCTTTTAAGTGTGATCTTTGAAAGTGTGATTAAAAAGAGTCATTCTTAATCACACTTTTTAAGTGTGATTAAAAATATTTAGATCACACCTTTTAAGTGTGATCTTTGTAAGTGTGATTAAAAAGAGTCATTTTTAATCACACTTAAAAAGTGTGATTAATAACATTTAGATCACACTTTTTAAGTGTGATTAAAAATATTTACATCACATCTTTTAAATGTGATTAATAATATTTAGATCACATCTTTTAAGTGTGATTAATAACTAATAAAATCTGTGATAAAAAAAAGATTCGACATATTTGAAAAATAATCAATATTATTTTTGTTTGCACATTTGAAGAACGTAATACACACTATATACTATATTTTGAATCATAACCACGTATTGAATAGAATAACATCATATATTTCATAAATGGAAATTAAATATTCAAAAGTATATACAAAAGAATTAAATAAAAAAAAAATTAATTGTGCTTACATATATTAAAAAATGAAAAAACTTAAAAAAAACAAAGTTCTTTAATTCTTGGACCATATTTTGCATCTCTCCAAAAAATGAATCTTCACCATTCAAATGTCTTAGTAGGACATTTGTCTCTACTATAAATTCAAAAACCGTTCTGTCTTATTATATAGATATATATATAATAAGAATTTTTTTTTTTTTAACAATATGATTTTTCAGTAATGAATTATTAAGTGACCTAATTGCAGAAGTAGAGAACTCATGACCCTTTCCCAAATATTTCTGTTTGTTTCATAAACCTAAATTACGTTTGACTAAGTACAACAATTTATTTATTTTTTGATACATCACACTAGCGAATTGTTTCTACATCAGAAAAACTTGGGAGACAACATTTTTATTTAAGAAGAGAAAAATAATAACCTTAAAGGCACCAAAAGAGGGGAGCAACCTACCTGCGTATCTTATGTAAACATTGAGATATTCGAAGCAGAAACAAGGAGAAGATATAAGAATTTTTCACAGCTATAAGATTTTTCGTTTTCACATTTAAGTCTTACAAATTAGACCATGTACGGTATAAAACATTCAGAGGAATATATACTTATGAGCAACAGGGTTGCCATAAAACACTGCATGAAAAAACAAATGAAGTCCTAAAAGAACTCACCAAGGGCTTGCAAAATCCATAATAGGTAGCATTACCAAGCAAGTTACAAGCTCTCGAGCAATGCACCGAACCAGGGGACATTGAGCTTCTTGTGGCCTCAGCAATACAGCTAACAACCCACCTATAATTTGCTAAAGAACCTGTAGCAAATAAAAGCATCAGAAGGCATGCTAACAATAAAATCAATAAGTAGAAATTTTTCATAAGAACACTCACACCTTGTCTCACACTCGGGAGAAATCAATGCAGGGTGAAGCTCCATTTCATGCTAGAAATATGGAAAAGACGGTGCACACGGAGATTCATTTCATGCTGCTGCTGCTGCTGCTGCTCAGCCCAAGCTGCAACAACCATATCACCTCGCCGGTCAAAAGCTTTTCGCTTTTTCATAAGCCACTCCAACGATGCTTGAGATGCCTGACAAACATAGCCATAAACACAACAAAATGAGAAACTATAAAGAGCTAAAGGAAAACATTTAATTTAAGAAAGTTTTCAACAAGAAGAAATTCATCCCTCCAAAGAACCTACACTTCAAATGTGTGGGAGTCATGTGTTTTGTTGAACTTAAAATTATGATTCGAAATCAACCAACTTTTGACTAAATAGAGGTAACAAAGAAAAAACCAATATACAGGTTCAGTGTAAAAATAAATAACTCAAATCACTTCAGTCAAGATCTTAACTTATCAATTCCCATGACCTTTAAGTAGTACAAGGTCTATGTGAAGAGGTGCCCAGAGGAGAAAGAAATAAGCTAACAAACTATGACAGGGCCTTGCATCACAACTCCCAGCTCCATAATAATCTCACAGCCTAAAGTGAATCAAATAAAATATTGAAAACAGTAACTGTTTCAATTGAAAACATGCCACCATAATATTCAGAGAACACAACCATGAAGAACTTGAAATTAAAAAGAACATGAAGAATGAATTTGTATAGATGACACCAAATGAAATTCAAACTTGCCACCTCAAAATGAATGGTAAATAAACTGAATAGCAAATAAATAAACAACTGTTGCTTACGCCTCAGTTACTTGACGAGAAGTTGTATTGAAGCCTAGAAGGGCTTATTTTTAAGAAGTTTCTCAAAACCAACATTGGGATGATGATGCACTAATCATGTTAAATGTCGACATAGCAGTTGAATAACATATGGAACACAATGCTTTTTTAGATATCAAGATAAAAAATTTCCTATATTTATTTATTTATTGGGAAGTAAACTAATGCTTGTGTTTCTGGAAAGAAAACTAAAAATCCCCAAAGGCAATGTAGGCGAAGAAACGTGAATCAAGAACCCCTCCCAAAAAAAAAAAAAAATCAAATGTCTATAAATTTTTTAAGGAATGGAAAGGGTGAATCACCTTCAAAACTTCATTAATGCCCTCAATAATGTAGTAAAAAATTGTCGTCCTCTCAGACTCAAAGGCATGCCAATGAACAAGGCATTTGTATATGAAACAAGCAGCCACTGGTTTACTATCTTTAAAACCCAAATCCTCTTTAATACAGCTTGAAAGAAATTCATAATTCTCCTGCATAACAATATTACTTTTAAAACCCTATTTAGTGGTGTAGAGAACTCATCAAGTAATTTACTCTGAGCAAGCAAAGTGAGTTAGAAATAAGAAGCTGTAATATTGTAAACAATAGGAGAGGAAAACCTGTTGTCTTTCAGTGGTTAACTTTGTCCTACGAGAATCAGATAAACCTTGTGAAAGGGGTGTTATAAGTTTTGTGGGTGTAGGGGATTCCTGCATCAAAGGTAATATATGAGAACAACAACGCAAAATTAGATTTCCTAGTTATGCAAAACAATGACTGATAGGGACAAATCTTACAAATACAGGCTTCTGATCAGCATAGGAAAGAGCAAGTGCAGCAGAGTACTTCTGTTTCATCAGAAAAGAGGAACTAATCACAAAACCATAGTTCCCACTTTCCAAGTACAAAGTCAAAAGGTAATATATGATAACAACAACGCAAAATTAGATTTCCTAGTTATGCAAAACAATAACTGATATGGACAAATCTTACAAATACAGGCTTCTGATCAGCATAGGGAAGAGCAAGTGCAGCAGAGTACTTCTGTTTCATCAGAAAAGAGGAACTAATCACAAAACCATAGTTCCCACTTTCCAAGTACAAAGTCAACCAAACCATCCTATACAGAGTAGAGCTGGAATTTTCTTTCTATTTTCTTTCTTTTTCTTCTCATTTGTACTTTTTTTTTCCCCACTTTCTTACTGAAGGATAGCTGAATATGCATCAAATTATAAACCATTTGCTATAGGTCATAACATAACAAAAATTAAAAAGGTGGAAAATCTACACATCTAGAATTTTCTTTCTATTTTCCTGCTTTTTCTTCTCATTTGTCCTCTCTTTCTTTCCATTTCTTTTCATATTCTTATTGAAGGGACAGCTGAACATGCATCAAATTGTAAACCGTTTGCTATAGGTCATAACACTAAAAAACAAGTTAAAAAGGAGCAAAATTTACATAGACACGCCGACACCGATGCATATACGTGGTTGCACAAACATACTACATATGCTATATGCATGTGCACATGAATGTGGATGTAAAGTAATGACTGAATCAAATCTTACCTCCAAAAATGGCTTGACAAAACCAGGACAGCTGCCCTTCGGAGAACTCAATGCTTTTTGACGCAGTACATGATTCTCATCCTCTAAATTGCAGAGCTTTTCCTCCAAACTTGTATTCACAAAACATCTCTTTCAAATCAGGAAGAGGTCAAAAGGAGGCATAACAATTTAAAAACATATTTGAGAAGAAAAAGGAATGCAAAGCAGCTTTTTGACAAGCAAGATGATAGATACATGAGCTTAGTAGTCTAGTACATGAATTATTTGTTATTGGGAAAAAAAAGATAGCTATTAAGCAGCATAAATCTTTCAAGTAGTTATAGAACACCTTTTCCAAATTCTATTGCAACTGTGAACATGTTTTATCAACTTCCCTCAACTTTTTCATGGTATCATTAGTATCATCTTTAGCCTTGATAAGCTCCTGCTCAAGCACTGAAACCAAATATCTTAATGGAGTACAAGCTGAAGATTGAAAACTTCTCAATTTGATCATCATGCGAAAACTATTTAACCAATCGAAAACTATTTAACCAATTGCACTCGTCTTACACACAAGTTTTTCAAAGAAGTTGCCATCTTAAAGCAGCCATTCAGATACTATGGTGCTGCCCTATAGTTTGCATAAATCTAAAACTACTACTAATTTCTCAACTAATTGTACCCACATAATTTATCTAGTTCGTTATAGCATTGAGTATGTTTTCCACCTAGGAAAATTTAGTATATAATTATCTAGCAAGTTATAGATCAACTCTCTCTCTCACAGTGTCCTGGAGAACAGTATTCGGTTTCAGCTTTAGGCACAAAGAGATGAGAAAGCAAGAAGGACTAATTTTCATAATAAAATTTATAATTTAAGGCATAAAACTCTTATATTGACAGCATACCTATTCACAACCTGATTCCATCATCACTTTAATAGATTTGGTCACAAGTTTTGTTGCTGCAATATGAGAAAATTGACTTAGACAGACAAAATAACATTCAGAAAAAAAGGGAGAAAAATGACAAGTAATTTACATATGATTTAAGAAAAAATGACAAGTAATCTTTTTGTGGCATTTCATAGGAATTATGAGATCCCCTTTTCATGTATACTGCACTTCTAAAGAAAAAATGCAGCAAACTGTTATCTACTACATTATCATGTTCTTTTTCATCCTGTTGCCAACCCATATGCTAACCCTCTAAGGCTCTAGTTGATTGCTGAGAAGACACAGTAAGAGGAAACTTGTTCTGAATCTTAATGAAAATGATAATGAAAGGCTTATAGAAAGGTTCCATGCTGTGCTTCACCTTCCTTCCTAACAAATGGTCCAAAGAACCTCAAGGTCAAAAGAAAAGTGAAAGAAATCTGTCAACAAATGAACAGAGGACACAACAACCTGTTGTTTCTTATTAATCTTTAGGAGGTAGGCACAAGAACTATTCTGTAGACCTTATGCAGAAACAACATACCCTAATCATTATTTGCCATCTACTCCACTTGGAATGTTCCAATAAGTCAATATTTCAAATTTTTAAACACCATATTGCCATTGGGGTTCTTATATTTTTTTAAAAAATAATAATAATAATAATAATAAAATAAAAAAATTGCATAATAAAAAAGGTTCAATAAGCAAAGCCCATATATTTTTGTCTATTGTTTATTGTAGAGATTGTCATGCTAAATTGAGTTTCAAATGTGAAAGGTCTTTGTTTGATAAGATTCTCGCATAGGTCAGAACATATTTGGACCAATTCCAACTACCAAAGCATTCCTTCTTCTATAATTTATCATTTCTTCTTTCAATTATGAGTCTCACCATAGAACTGACTATTATTAAAGAAGAAGAAAGATAGGGAAACAATAACTTTTTATTTTATAATTACCTATGCTTCATAGAATCATCTTCATATATATATATATATATATAATTAAAAAAATAAAAATAAAAAAATACTAGTTGACGCGGTCATGCTGCAAAGTATAATTCCTTACTATATTCTTCCTTTCTCAATCTTTTTACGAAAGCAATGAATGATCTTCCCTCATAGTCTTTGCTTCTTCTAGTCAAGGTCAGGAAAGACCACTTACTTCATATTAGAATTCTAAGAAATGAAATGAGCATGCTAGATAGAGAGAGAGATTGTGGGTAGAGTTGAGTTGTAGTTTTCATAGTTCAAATTAATAGGTGCAAAGTATTGAATTGTGATAGAGAAATATGAAACAAAAGCTTTCAAAGGAAGACTAGATGAACAAGACAACATGGTGCTAGTGACCACTTTTCATTTTTCCACCATACAATATTTAATTTTGAGATCCACCCTACAATATGGGTAAAAAGCAAAAATAAGTTCTTTTAGCCCTTATAAAAAGAAAACCAATTCTTGAAATTCTTTCACGCTCATGTCACATTGAGGTACTGCAAAATCTGATCCAATTTTCGTAATCAATTAGTAAATATGTTGGTTTACTGTAATCATGGAAAACAAATTCATTGGCTTATAAATTATCTATAACAATGATGAGGATGATTATGATGATGATGACGATAATTACCGGAGTGCATTTAGTAAAAAAGCAAAAATAAGTTCTTTTAGCCTTTATAAAAAGAAAACTAATTCTTGAAATTCTTTCACGCTCATGTCACATTGAGGTACTGCAAAATCTGATCCAATTTTCGTAATCAATTAGTAACTATGTTGGTTTACCGTAATCATGGAAAAGAAATTCATTGACTTATAAATTATCTATAACAATGATGAGGATGATTATGATGATGATGACGATAATTACCGGAGTGCATTTAGTACAAGGTGCATCACATTGGAGCCAAGTGAGGTCACTGCCAGTGTCTATATCAAGAAAGCAGGGTTTTGGTGGGTGGCCTATGTAATGGGTCACATGGTAGTACCTGCATAAAATAAAATAAAAAACCCTTAACAACCTGCTTTAAGGAGAGAAATTGGAACACATACAAAATGCCATGAATTTCAATCATTGACCCAAAGGGGAAAGAAAGTAGAGACAGAGAGACAGTCAGAAACTAAATGAAAGGGAAAAGGTAAAAAAAAGTAACAAAGTCAACCCAAACACAAGAAAAGAGAAATAACTAAAGGAATACAAAAGTGCAAATCTTGTTACCTATACCCCCAATATATTATCTTATGGATTATTGTTATTAGAATGGGCCCGTGATATACCCACAAACCCAAACTGGAGACACGCCTTCTCCACTGATCAAATCCAAAGAGAATTAACATCCAAATACCTGAAACTACTAGCACAATGCCTTTCTCCAACATGGAGGAATCACTCATAATATTAAAACGACCACATTTATCTAGCAATTTTTGTTTATTGTCTCATCTTATGTATTATTATTGGATTAATAACTAATATGAGTTATAGGAACCATTAAATTAATATAATTTTAACACAAAACACAATATAGTAGATAAAATGTGGTCATTGGCAACCACTTCTGACTGAAAAGTGAGGGATGAAAAGGTACTATGATGGCAATATGCACCATGTGGGACAAAAAAAAAACATACAAAACAAGTTCAACAACTCATATTCAATTAACATATAATTGCAACAAAGCCAAACAAATTTATTATATTATCAATATCCAGAGGGAGAAAATAGTTAAAGGTATGAATCAAGAAAATGCATTTCTTTTCTTGGCTACCTGCACAAGTAGTCAATAACAGGACCACCCAAGTGTAGCAGCTTGAAAAAAAAGGAAACTATATATATACATACAGCCTAATATATATAATCTAGGGTTTTAATAAATTGGTGCAGTGCAGTGCCCGTGTAAATGCATATCTATATATATACATACAGCCTAATATATATAATCTAGGGTTTTAATAAATTGGTGCAGTGCAGTGCCCGTGTAAATGCATATCTATATATATACATACAGCCTAATATATATAATCTAGGGTTTTAATAAATTGGTGCAGTGCAGTGCCCGTGTAAATGCATATCTATATATATACATACAGCCTAATATATATAATCTAGGGTTTTAATAAATTGTGTCTCTGTGACGATATTTGTCGTATATTTGCAAATACCTGGTTTCAACATATTAGAGGAACAACAAAAAAATTATTTTCATTGCAGAGACATGTATTCGGATTCAACACAATGAGTGAACATTTTTCAGCTGATAAAAGTCAATGGCAAGAGGAAATAGTGGAATGACGGAAGAGAATGTTACCTGGATAGAACAGAGAGAGAGAGAGACTGCGAGCTGTGCAATGGTGAACGGCTAGGGCTCGTTTGCCCTTTCGGCTGCTCCTCCGCCGCTCGCCATCGATCGAGAGATGGGGGGTAAGAAGATATTAGGGATTTTTGGGTTTGAGATTGGGGATGGGGAAGGGAGCGGGAATGGAAAATAAAAAGGGGCGGGAATGAAAATAATTTTTTTTTTCTTTTCAGAAATAAAATTTAAATAACAAAATAATATTGTTTATTTATTTTTATTTTTTTTTGCGACGGGGTTATCGTCGTCAAAAAAAATTATTTTTTGTTAAAAATATATATTTTTTTGTAGTTAATGAATTTTTTTAAAAAAAATCTTTTTTTTTAGTTACTAAGATTGAAAATTTATTTGTTTTATATTTATTTCAATGAAAAAAAATATTATTATTTTTTATTTGGTAGAAGTAGGGGTAATATTTTAATGAAAAATATTTTTCACTAAAATAAAATTTAATTTTCTGTGGTCAATGAAAAATGTTTTTCTACGTCCCATTTTTTTTTATTATTAAAAATCATGAACTAATTTTTTGTGGTAGAGGAGAGGGAGTGGCAATAGTGGTGAAGGTGGTGGATAAGAGATGATGGTGGTGGTGGTGGTGGTGGCAGCGGCGAAGGAGATTAGTGGTGAAGTTGTGGTAGTGGTAGAGTAGATGAAGTGGCAATGGTGAAGGAGAGGTAATGGTAGTAGTAGTGGCAGTAGTGGTAAATGTGGTGGATAAGAGATGATGGTGGTGGTGGTGGTGGCGGTGGCGGTGGCGAAGGAGATTAGTGGTGAAGTTGTGGTAGTGGTAGAGTAGATGAAGTGGCAATGGTGAAAGAGAGGTAATGGTAGTAGTAGTGGTGGCAATGGTAGTAGTAATGGTAGT